TTTAGTTTTTTCATTTGTCAGAAGATTTCTGTAACATTTATTGTGTTTAAATATTTTTATTTATTTTTTTTTTTTTTTTTGCAATAACATCAACACGTTGTGCAGTTCTATAGCCGCATCAGTTTTTCGAAGTTCATTAATATTATTTTCAATAAATCGTCTCGGTCCATAATACCATTACGTACGATAGGTATATATTTCATCGTGATAAACGTGTTAGAAGTTCTAAACTTTGAACCACACGATGCGTTCGTCATAATATTAAGCGTTATACCGTAAACCAAACTGGTAATAATTATAATAACGCCATTGTACGGTTAGGATATTTGTTTTTATATAATTTAGCGCTCGGCGCTCGAACGGCGCGAAGGTACCGATAATATATTATTATTAAACATGTTTGTTTCTACGAACACAATAATATATATTATGTAAAATAACACGTTTTCTTTGTGAAGATTGAAAGTTTCGAAACTTCTAATAACGCATTTATAAAGATAATTTATATACTTATTCGATACGTAAATGCGCTGTTTGCTGTAGAGGTTTGTACTGGCAAACCGAATAAACACTCCGTCATTTATATGCAAATATTATATCGTGTGTACGGGTAAATATAACGTACGATACAAAATAAATAATAAACACTATGCAATAACATATACATATATATATATATATATATATATATTTACAAGATATCTGAAAAATTGTTATTACAGTCAACGTATCATAAAATCGTATACATCGACGAAATCGATGTGAAACTAATATTCAGTAAATGAAAACATTAAATACCTTCTTAGTTTACGTTAACAGTCCAACGTTTTTCGAGACGCATTCGATGAAATCGAAATCAATTGCGAAAACAAATCATTCACTATCCGAACGCGTGATAAAATTATTACTCTACAACCACGCCTTGACGAGTTATTTCTGTATTGATTTATTGAATTATCCTCGTTGCACGTAAAACGTTAAAAATCAATACGATTATACGCGCATGTTATATTATTACTGTATTAAAGGCACTGAGGTAATTGCGGTAAAATACTCGATACATTTTCTTACATTATTACATAAAAATATGTTAAAATCGCATTGACCGCATTAAATAAAAACATTTAGTGTAATACTTATATGACAAACGTAATATCATAATAAAAGAAAATGAAACACAAATATTTTTCATATTAACTGCTGTAATAGGATCAATTTATATGTTCTAAAAATCATACGATTAAAACTACTCTGAAATAAAATTAAAACTGCATTACATTGCCGTGTTAAAAAATTATAATTCTCAAGCTCATTTGGCTACGACTATAAAAAAAAAAAAAAGCGAATGCTCCAATTTCACTATCTTAACTTGATTATTTTAACTGCTGTCTTATATCGATGTGCTTGTATGCATTTAATTATGATCGGTGTCACACGTATACGCGATAGTTTCGCGAAGATTCGAAATCCAAATGCCATTGTCGACGACCGTTTTCGCCGGCGGTTTATCTCCAGCGCAGGAAAGAAAATCCATTCCGTGCACTGTTGCACCACTGTTTCACACACGCCGCATGAAAAATCTATCCTGTCGGTGGACGGACGTCGTGGCCGAAAAACGAGGTAATATGTTTCTAAAAAAAAAAATAAAAAAACACCGCGTACATTATTGTTAATGTTATCACTATCCGTCTGGTCGCAAGTGAACCGTGCACCGCGTGCAACATAATAAGTATACACATTGTACATGTACACGTAATAACTGTACGTGTGCGCGCGCGCGCGATCGAGGGCGATTGTATCACGAAAACAATAAAATTTCAACCCCGGTGCGTCCTAACGCAGCGCATGTTCCCCTTGCCGTGCTCGGCGGTGCTAGTGGAGTCGGTAAATAGTGTGCGGGCGGAGAACATTTATAACGTTTAGGAATTTAATCTACTCCTGCTCGTAACCAGCCCGTGTGCGTGCGTGTGCATATTGTGTGTTGTGCGTGCGCGAGAAACGAGTTTTTTGTCGCCCCGTCGTCGTCGTCGTAGGTGCACGCTCGTACCGTTCTGCTCACTCGATGATTCCTAATCGTTGGAGCCCGGATTTATATGCATTTAAAAAGTATCAAATATAATGCAAATACGCAAAGAAAAAGCGGCTAAATATGCAATTATATGCCGCATTATGTTACACTTTATAAAATGTGATTTTCTTTTTTTTTTAAAAACCGCACTTTCATACCAAATAAAATTCTAAATATTTTATCCAAAAAACAAAAAAAAAAAAAAAAAAATGATGATATCCATTGCTTTGTATTTTAAATCATTTAAATCAATCCAAAACTTTTAGGAAACTTAAAAACGAGAATACAAATAAAAATAAAAATACTAAAAATAAATATTTTAGATAATTTGAAGTCATCTACTGCCAAAAAACTAATAGAAAACTTAAATAATATTTTTAAAACTGTATATTCGTGCTCTATTCGAAGCGATTACAACATTTACTGTCAATTAAAATAGTTGATTTATTAAAAACCCATTAAATATGCACGGTATGCATTTATGCATAAATATGCATTTATGAACAAACATGCGACAACCCTCAAAATATGCAATATAAAACTTGGTGTTTAAACTCGGTGCGATATGAATCGTGGACATTTTAAACCTCCATAGACGTGCACACACTTAGTACAAACATGCAAATGCATATATAAATCCAAACTCTTCTACTAATCACTGTACATTATCTCCTGACCGGTACACGCGTACATCGGAAATGATCGCACCAACAACCGGGGTGTCGTGTCCGCAATAATAATCGTAATGGTTTTTCGTTGTACGGTTGTACAAATCAAGAGAGAGAGAGAAAAAAAATCAATTTTCCGTAATGCATCTCCGTCCGTGGTGCATCGTTGTTTACGGTGTAACTATTATAAAGGATTTGTGATCGGTGACAAATTGCAGTTTTCTATTATGGACATATTTACGGACTTGTGTTAACTGCAGTGGTCGATTTCATGAAAACAAATGCATTCAATGACTCATTCGACGTATACACGAAACGTAAAACACAATTGCGCGATACTGGACGTGTATTAAAAAATAAAAAATAATCATAAATGTAGGTACAACTTGTTTTTTCTCGGTAGATAATTCAATATATTACATGGAGATATTATATGGAAATATTTACAGACGGTTCCAAAATTAACTAATATCCGTTTTCGATAAAAACACTATACACGCAAATGCGTATATTTACATTGTCATGAAATTTTTGAAAAAAAAAAAAAATTTAATAGTTTTATTATACATGCATTCTATTATTTTAGAACTTGTTTCCATACACATACATTGGAAAGAATACTACGTGTATAGATGCATAACTCCGAAAACAGAAATATTCGGTAGAGGAAAAAAAAACACGGTAATAAAATAATATTTAATAATATAGTTTACGACGTTTAATACTACTTGTATGTGTGCAAATGATAAACCCTACCTTGTGCAGTGTATATTTACCGACCGCGGCTGCATCGGACGGTCCTGAGAAAAGTACAAACGGTTTAGCCGCGTAACAATAATAATAATATTATAATTGCTATTATTGCTATCAAGGCTAGATCGTCGACGGATTAAAAGTTAAGGTTAAGTTGTGAATTTAATTTACTTTTTAGCTAAATAACGCAATGAGTTTATTGTTTTTCTATGATGCAAGTCGGTCGATTTATTGTTTGGCCACGTTGATCATTCACCCGATTTATCAAGATCGTTATAGAACATAAAAACAATTGGTACCGCAACCGTTGCGGATGTAACGAACGAGAGTTGTTCCTGAATTCCGGTAGGGCTGAAAACGGAGTAACCGTGAGTACAGCCCTAAGTAAATGATAATACCGGAACACGGTTCGGCCGAGGGGAAAAATAGTCACCGACTTTTTTTTTTTTTTTTTTTTTTCTACTCGTAACAATCACAAGTTGGAAAGCCAAAAAAAAAAAAAAAAAACCGAAATCATTTCCACTTCGTAACCGGATCGACTCGAACGCACGACGAGCGCGACAGAAGTTGGTCGACTCGGCTCAGCCTCGATCGCCGTACCGCGTAGTCGCGCCCAGCGGCGAGGAAAAAGTTGCGCAACGTAAGCGCACCGCGTCCGGAGAGCTTTTCGCGATCGCCGTCTCGAAGACGTTCGTTTCCGTCTCGTCCGCAGAGACGTTCGTCGGCAACGAAAAATGTTCGCAATGCATTCGTTCGCGTGCACTTGCGCTGTACGCACTTCACGTTATTGTCCGCCGCCGCACGCCGAGCCCAAGGACGGCACGGCGATTTCTCGTGACCGCTGACGGACGCGCACCGTACGAGACTTATGGAAAACGGTGTTAATGATAATAAAAAAAAACATATACGTACACGTTCGAACGATGCGCGCACTCGCTCCGCGAACGGCTCCGCCCGCGTCACGGTAACTGCGACAGTCGTTTTTTACGTTCGTTTTTTTATTCATTTTTTTTTTTTTTTTTTTATTTGTGCGATATTCGGGTCACACGAGTTGCGGCGGCTGCATTGTCTGCGACGAGAGGCGCGCGTGGGAACATCACGGTACGACTTTGACACGTTTAAATTGAAAAAAATTATAATGACAATCGAAACGGTTTCGCATCTTTACGTACGCGTACACACCGGGATCAAATGTGTTTCGTTTTCTTTTCATTTGTGCTACGTTTTTTTTTTTTTTTTCTTCGGGGACGCGATGCGATGATCGGTATTGTCGTCGTTTGTCCGCGTAACGTTGAAGTAAGACGCTGATCGAGCAGACCATCTGCCGTTGAACGTTTGAACATTTTGTTCGCTATAAAAATTGATTTCAAACGTTACGTTTTTGCGGTTCGGCCGTAAAGATCTGGTACAGGTATATCTTTTTTGGTTCTTAAATCGACCTTGTAAAATCAAATCGATTTGAAGCAATACGGTTGGTTTCAGAAAAAAAAAAACCCACTTGAAATCCTAATGGTCGAACACAGCGTACGATCACAAGAAAGCTATCAAACTGCGGTCGTACGGCAATGATATGTTCAATTTTGGGAACAAAAATTATTGCATAAATCTATCTGGTTTTCTTAAGACACAATAACATTTGTTGGCATTGTTGCATTACCGGAGGATGTACAGTACTTGGACAGTTCGTCCCCATAATTGTTCGTACCGTCTCTCCGAAGTCTCGCGTTCTAATCCATATTTTATCGATATCGTAAATTACGAACCGCTCGCAAATAATGGTGTGGGAACGAAACTGTCGAAATCGCGCGCAAATAATCTCGGTAAAACCGTATCGAGTACGATGTGAGAATCGAAAACCAAGATTTCCACGAGGCTGTACCGACTAACACGTTTTTCGAGTCACGGCCGTCGACTATGCGTCTACACCGCACGTTTTCCTACCGACGATGCGATAATACACGTCATTACAAGTATGTTATACAATATTTTCCGAGTGTAACAGAATTATGCTTTTATTACCATTATTATGTTAATTTTTCACTATCAAATACGGTTATGCAACGGATCCGTTTATTCCAAATGTATTTTACATCGATCAATAGTATGCATATTATTTGATGCAAGCCTAGAATAATAAACGAAACACATTATTATTATTTTTTTTTCGAGCGACGACAATTTAAATTTTTTTCTCGATCTAATATTTTGTAGAAACGTATGTTCGGTACGTAATATGAATAAGTTCATTCGAAATAAATTACGCCTCCTATCGCTCGCACACGGGATCGACCGTCGTTTTCCATTTCGATAATATCCTGCATCGCGCAACTCGTACGCATAAAACATACACGATAAACATTTATTGTTAATGTGTTCGATAAAAAAAAAAAAAAAAAAACGTTCGGAATTCGACGACAATGCGTGTTCAAGCCGTACACACCATGTACAGTTGTTAACTACTGCATTTTATATCACCTACATTACGTTATAATCGTAAACTATCGACTCGCGCACGATTAACTTACAAGAATAATTACACACGTCGTTGGACGTTTTCGTATCCCGCGACTGCATGACGTGCTGTACTTATTTTTCTCACTCTCTCGCGCACTCTCACTCTTATCGTTCGACGAACGAATCGAGTTTGTGTTTAGAAAAACGTTTCGTTTTTCTACCCAACACGAGTTTCGTCCTGAATTCGTGTGCACCGCGTAGCAGATGCTGCGCGCGGTGTAATTAATTGTAGTACACATAACGTTATTGCTGCAGCGTGCTGCGTATGGGTGTAAAAAATTAAAGTCAATTCCACTGTATTCGGAGTGCATTTAAATTATTAGAACAGCAATAATTAAAACATTAATAAACGTGACTCCACTGTTGGAAATTCTTCTATAAATAATAATGATAAAAAAAAAAAAAAGAAGATAAAAAACGCAACCATTACAATACGACGTCTGTATTTGTTTTTAATGGACCCTTGATAAGGCGTTTTTTTTTTTTTTAATATTACTCAATTATTGTTCACCCGCATACACCGTAAGCGTTCAATGCGGTGCATTTTCCGTGAAACAAAATTAATATTTCTTTTCGTTTCGTACAGTTTCTGAACAACAATGGTGCTCTCGAATAATTGGTTGTTTACCGCCGTCGTGTACGACTCATTGCGTGCGCTCTGCAACACTCGACGGATATGCACGCAGCGTTTTACTTAACGTTCGCGTTGGTACATTTTTTTTTTTTTTTTTTTTTTATTAATCTGCTCCGTTTGTTTTTTAACAAGAACAATACCATGGCTCGAGAATCAGGTACAATACACGCATTTGTGGTACATTTATGTATATTATTCGTTACGTACGAATTCGAAAACCGAGTCAGACGTTTGCGCTAACCCAACGATCCGTTTGCTGTACTATAGTACTACGCAGTACGTTTGCGACGAACGCGATAATCCGTCACACGAGTGCACAACGTAAATATAACGTACGTAAACCGATAAAGCCGACCAATACTCGAGCACTGCTTACAGCCGTCCGTAAACGTGTATATTTCGTTTGATGCGAAACAGAGACACGTCTGTCGTTCGTCGTTGAACGCGTCACGATTCGACTGTTAATATCATTGTTCGTTTTTTTTTTCGGTATAAAGAACAGGTCCGCCGATCTATATATTCGATATTATATCGATACTTTAACGATTTACCAGTGTTATTAACCCGTTGTAGGTATCGTGAAATCACGTGTTGTGGAAACGGTCGGTATTTAACGGTGGTAATATTATCGCCAGTTGGACGCGAAACATCGCGTAACAATGACGCACGGGAAAAAGTTGTTTTTTTTTCTTTTCTTGGTACGCAACCGCTGCGAGTCATAATAATATGTATTATTTTTGCCGCGCGATGAATACGAGTAGAAAAAAATGCCACTCGTAATTTTTCTCCATCTTTCTCTCTCTGTTGTCGGCCGTTCTAGGAATAAAGTTTGAATTTAAATCGACGGCTGCAGAAATCCACGTGTGGCGTCGCTATCAACAAGTCCTTTGTCGAAATGAACACCGAACGTGTGAACTGTTAATGCTCGACGACGGTAGTACTTTACCGGCTGGAAACAAGTAGAGGCCAACAATTATTGACTGTCATCAACAACTGTCATCCGCGGGGGCTCATCGCGAACGATTCGGACCGGTTGCTGGCCAATACGCCGCCCCGCACTCGTTTCGAAAGGGATAAGGAACACGCCGACCTACAACGGTATTCCTCTGATGCTTCGCAACGGATCGGTGTAAAGCAGTTGTGGTCGGAGTCACTATTACACTCGTACACCATAAACGTTCTCTCGCGAACTGCCGTTTTTTATCGGGACGAATCGACATTTCGATCGTGTTGGTGATTCGATTGTTTATAGCCGACAATGTTACGCAGCGTTTATCGTGCCGGGATGAACGCTGGAAAAATGTCGGCAGCGGTAGGGGGGAAAAGGAAATATGTTGATAAATAGCATACATTTTACCCCATTACATGCACGTATATTTGTACAATTTTTTTACGAGTCTCACGGGAAAATTTTAAATACTAACCAACTAGAACTTGATCAACTTTGTAGAACATTTTTGTTTTTTTTACATTTCAAAGGCGGTTAAATCCTTATTACCTTCGGTTCGTAACCGACCTATTGCGTCAAACCACGAACGCACAATCCGCTCGCGTGTTCTATGCGCAACAGTTGTATTCCTTAAATGATCGGACGAAATATTGAAAGAAAAAAAAATAAATATATTCTACATATTATATAATATGATACTAATCGAGGCTGGTCAGATGAACTACTGTATGATTAAGAGTTACGTCTATTTCTTAATATCTTGTAAAAGTTAATAAGGTAAAAGCAATTTTTTTTCTCAACTGAATAATATTGTTCCATATGTATAAGACTATATCTATGTACGTTGTTTGGATCCTTATTCAGGAATAGAGTTAAAATGATTTGTAGTTGACCTCCGGAATTCAAATTGTGTAAAGATTATCGCGACGCGACTGTAAAATTAATGAGCTGGGCATTGCGGAAAAATGTTAACTCGCTCGGTTAGAAGAGTTACCTTTGAAAAATAAAAACTAACGCGGTCAGCAATAACTAAACTTTTTAGCTCGTAATGCGTATGTATCCCACGGTAATTGTTTCCCGTGAAATTTAAAGCACGATTATTTTTTATTCAACCGAACGGCAATATACGAATTTAGAGTCGACAAAAACAAACATGCTTTGACACATCAAATCCATTCGAACAAATAGGGCGATAGGCGTGTGTTCCCGAACGCGTTATGTGTTCGTGTGCCCAAACGCGCTGCGCCCGTGTTCGATCTCGGTCGGGCGAACGACGGCGAACGCGAAAAAATCGTGCGCTCCACGCCGTGCGCGTATTGCACATTAACGCGCGCGGGCGAACACCGTCGGGGAACGGGGACATTGTGCAACTCGACCGAACACACCGTGCGTTTTCAACGGTAGAACGGTTGCCAAGATTATTCGGGCCATCTTTCTCTGTCGCGCGGCACGCGGACATGGAAAAAAACGTAAACGAAAATAACCGACTTTAATTTATCTGTCCCAGGCGATTCGCCGGATTTCCGCGACTCGAGTGCGTGCGCGAACGGGATACGTTGAGCACAACGCGTGCCGCCGTCGATCGCACGTAAATCATCTGATCGCGATCGTCAGTGCATCCGAAACGTGTACGCGAACCGAGAACACGAAAAACATTAACAAATAAAAGTGTATCGAAGGCGTACGGTAAAAAAATAATAACATTGAGAAACGAAAAAAATAATATCCTAATGTGAACACGCGTTCCGCCGCGGCGGAATCGATTTCCTTTATTATTATTATTATTATTATTTTTTTTTCTCGCGTATTCCTCTTACACCGTAGCGAACGACCTCCGCCCTACTCGCGCAATCATTTACGTACCATACGTTTAAATATCGGTAGGTTATAACGCGCGCACGTGCTCGTCAAAATTGTACGCAAAGACGTTGTACGGCGGTGGTGTTGGACACGAAACGAATTGATATCGTGTGCACGCGCAGCATCGCAGCCGGTCCTGGACGAAACTCCGCGACACCCGCCGTTCGAACGGCGTCCGCGTAGAAACTCGGGAAAAATTATTTTTAATATTTATGTACTCGCACTGTGAACTCATTAATAATTCTCCTTGCAGTTCGACTAGCCTGTAGACGGCTTAGATTTTTACGAACGCACGTAAATATGAGTACTGCGCTCGCGCGCCGTGGTTCAACGCACTTTGCAACACGTCATCTCGTAGTTATTATTGTTTTATATTGTACGCCAGTATGTGCGTAACCGTGTACGCGAGCTGGACGTGCGTTACCGGACGGAATCTGACGAAAACGCGCGTTCGATAGTTGTTTAATTGTTGACGCTTTGCAACCGCAATGGTTCGGTTCGTAATTTATTTTCAACGGAAAGAAACCGTTCGTGTTTTTTTTTTAATCGATCGACCGTACGTACGGAAAACGATCACGAATGCGTCGCGGCGCTCATTACCCCCTCCTCGTCCTCTTTATCGATTTCTCACGCGCACACTCCTTCAACATATATATATGTGTGTTGTCGTTAGATTTAGGAACCGAATCGGTAATTCATTTCCGGTTCGGGCAACGATTTCGTCTTTAAGGAAAAATAAAGGTATAGAGATACCCGCGTGAATAGTAAATTACCAGTTTTCTATTTACTCTTGCACAGCTTATATCGTAAAAAAATACTGCGTTGACGTCACGGTGATATGTACACTGCACAACTCAACCGATTTCAATACCGTCGTATTTTACCTATACATCGCACGCATACCCGTACGGGTGTACACAATCTAGACAAATCGTGCACGAGACGATTTTGTTCACGACAGTCAAACGCGTGTATTCGTACCCATACAAAACGTACGTTGAGCGATAATATTG